CCTTTTTTTTTTTTTTTTCTTTTTTCTTTTTCCCCCCATTTGTCTTGATAATGTTTGGTGAATGAATTATAGGCTTCGAATTAGAAACTTAAAGATTTTGTTAATTTATGAAATATCTCAACTTGAGTGGTCAACATGTTTCATAATGTTCACAATTTTCAATTAGTGTCTATTTATATGGCTGCTTCTTGGCACTTTAAATTGGATATATTTTATATATAGAGCTATTATTGGTATCCTAGTTACTTTTGTTGATGGCTTTCAATTAAATAGTTTCAGTAATTACGAATTTGCTTTTGTAATTAGTAGCATAGCATAGTTTTGATGTGGAAAGATGTTATTCTTGTTAACCACTTGGGTTCAAGTTGACTACCATATAATTGAATTAGCCTAATATCTTCTCAATATTTTTCCAGATTTGGTGGAATTCTGAAGGCACAGGACTTGAATGTTATAATACGGGATTTGGGAAAGCTAAGAAGATGGCACGATGTTTCCCAGGTTCTACAACCTCAAAATTGCTATACCATGCTTCTCTTTGATATGCTGCATAATATGCATACTTTGGATGGTTAATCCTGTGCATTTTACATTTACTTGTGTCTAGTGTATGGATTTCTGTCTAGTTATCTGGATCTTCTCTCTATAAAATGATGTAGCTGGATGAGCCTTTTTCTTCAGAGAGGAGAAAAGTTAAACCTTTGTTTAATCTCTGATGGTCATTATTTCACAATATTATTTGTCCTTTGGATATTTGCAGCTTTTTGAATGGATGCAGCAAAATGGGAAGATCAATGTTTCATCTTACAGCACTTATATAAAGTCCATGGGGAAAAATCTCAACCCCATAAAGGCCCTGGAAATCTACAATGGCATTCCAGATGAATCAAACAGAGCAAATGTCTTTGTCTGTAACTCCATACTTAGTTGTCTGGTCAGGAATGGCAAATTTGATAGCAGCATCAGGCTGTTTGATAAGATGAAGCAAGATGGTTTAACACCTGATATTGTCACATACAATACTGTAAGCCACTTGCACTCATAATATGCAGTTTGATGTCATCTCAATGTTTCTTATTCCAAATGCTTGTAGAAGAAAAAAGGGTTTCAAGTTTGCACAGCTTCTCTACTCGTGGTGAAATTTGGAATTATAAATAACCAGTGTCTTTTTTCATTCTTAGCTACTTTCAGGCTGCATTAAAGTCAAACATGGGTATTCCAAGGCAATCGAGCTGGTTAAGGAGCTGAAATATAATGGCCTGCAGATGGATAGTATACTGTATGGGACTCTTTTGGCTGTTTGTGCTTCAAAGAACCTTTGTCAAGAGGCACAGGGTTACTTTGACCAGATGAGGGATGAAGGTCATTTGCCTAATTTATATCATTACAGCTCTTTACTCAATGCTTACTCTTCAGATGGAAACTATAAGAGAGCTGACGAGTTGGTTCGAGAAATGAGATCTACTGGGTTAGTACCAAATAAGGTTTGTTTTCATGTATATCATGTCAATGTAAAGAGTGAATAGGTATTGATCTTGATGCTCTGAACCGCACAGTGCTTTATGCATATATTCTATGTAATGTGTTAGCCAAATCCTGGAAACTCTTTTTTAGAAAATGCATATTAAATGTCCATTAAAGAATCGCTGCTAAATAGGTCCTTCTAAAATATAATTATCTGCAAGTCTTCATTGGTATATCTTTATTTGTTTTCTTTGTGCAAATTCTTTCAGGTTATATTGACCACTTTGCTGAAGGTATATGTTCGAGGAGGCTTGTTTGAAAAATCCAGAGAATTATTAACTGAACTAGAAGCTGTGGGCTATGCTGGAGATGAGGTACACTGATCACTTTACCTCTAATGTTTAGAATGATCAAAGCTGTGCTGTGAACCTTGATTAATATACAACTTTCAAGTTGTATGAATGAACTGCTCATTTTTCTTTCATTATGGTATCAAATTATACCCCAAGAAGGCTGGGTTTTCTAGTTGAGATAATCAGTTTGATAAGCTAATGCTCTATATACTACAAGCTGTGCCTTGATAAACAGTTTGTTTTTTCCTTCAGTTTTGTTTAAACTCTCAATTGGTATGCAATATCTTTTCTTTATAATCCTTGGTCTTAAAACACGAAGCATGATGCTGTTGACTCCTTTGTTACCTAACCTCATCAATCAAATTTAGAACAATGCTATCTCTGAGGACAAGTATTTTACTTGGCAGTTCTTAAAATATTACAAATCAGTAGTAATGCCACCCATCTCTATGATAAAACTTGATTGTCAATCATTTATTCTTAATGGCGAAACCTAGTTACTTCTACAAACCTTTTTGTTCCTATCTGACAAAGAAAACTCTTTTGCGTCCATCACAAGGTGATATAACTTTTGATTGTGCTTCATTGGCCATGGTTATTTATTCAAGTATATTTCTTCTATGGTTCTATGTTTTATAACTGTATTTTTTTTACTTATAGCACACAAATCAATTTTTAGATGCCATACTGTTTGTTGATGGATGGTTTTTCAAAGGCTGGGCATATAGATGAAGCAAAATCACTTTTTGATGGAATGAAGAAAAAGGGTGTTAAATCTGGTCAGTTCCTTCTCTGAGATTGTGCCCTTCCTGGGCATATACACATGTTTATTCATATTGTGTCACTGGTGGTAAAGGATGTAGTAAGCTATTCATCAGAAGACTACCAATAGTATTTTTATGGGAAGCTTATAATTTTTGTTTCCTTCTACAGATGGATATGCCCATAGTATCATGATTGCTGCATTCTGCAGAGCTGAGCTTTTTGAAGAGGCAAAGTTGTTAGCCCAGGAGTTTGAAGACAAGTATAACACGTATGACTTGGTCATGTTAAATACAATTCTCTGTGCCTACTGCAGAGCAGGTGAAATGGAGAGTGTAATGAAAATAATGAAAAAAATGGATGAACTGGAGATAAGTCCTGATTACAAGACCTTTCATATCCTAATCAAATATTTCTGTAAGGAGAAGCTGTACATGCTTGCTTATCGAACCCTTGAAGATATGCATGGTAAAGGCCACCAACCAGAGGAGGTATGATAATTATTTATTAGTTCATGTTAAGAATGTCAATATGAATTTTGTGTTTGTTTCTCCTTTTCCTCTTAATTTTAAAGTCTTTGTTGGCACTGATCTATTTACCTTGAGTTGCGACTCACAGTCATGAATTGACCTTAACGTTAGAAGCTTGAAGCTTATAATGTCTGTTGCTTTGCAGGAGCTTTGCTCCTCCTTAATTTTTCACCTTGGTAGGACCAAAGCCCATTCAGAAGCATTTTCTGTCTACAATATGTTAAGATATAGTAAAAGAACAATGTGCAAGGCCCTTCATGAGAAGATTCTGCATATTCTAATAGCTGGACAGCTTCTGAAAGATGCTTATGTAGTAGTAAAGGTATGTGATGTAGTTTTAAAAATTCTTCCTTCTGTTCTTCACCTCTATACAGTTAACTAGTCTCTGATCATTGTATGGTCAGGACAATGCTGACTTGATATCTCGACCTGCTATAAAGAAGTTTGCTACTGTATTTGTGAAGAAGGGTAACATCAACTTGATAAATGATGTCATGAAGGTTATCCATGGTTCTGGGTACAAGATTGATCAGGTAATAAAAATCATCAACTTAGATTGTCATCATATTTAGAATTTGTTAGTATTAGCATGAGACGTGCTTTAGATCTCAAATTTAAGCATGTGTTTAGAACACTCTGGCACATGACGTGCATTTTAATTATTAGATTAAAATGGTGGTAGAGTCTCCAAATTTTATAGAAAATTTTGTGGCATCTACATTTTTTTTTGGCAACTTTGACCTTTGAATTCTAATTAATGATATGATTTTTTTATTTTCTTTTTTCACTCAGGCAATATTTCGGGTGGCTATATCACGTTACATTGAACATCCTGAAAAGAAGGAATTGCTTCTTCAATTACTGCAGTGGATGCCAGGTCAAGGATATTTTGTTGATTCATCAACAAGAAACCTGATTCTCAAGAACTTGCAATTATTTGGTCGCCAGCTTATGGCCGAGACATTATCAAGGCATCAGATGATATCAAAAACATCAAGATCTGTCTAATCATTTCAGAACTACAAGAGTTCTAGGTACATAAAATAGTTTATTTTACATTTGTACTCATTTTTAAAAAAATATCAATGAAATGATCCATGCTTCCTAGTTTAGAGCATATTACACTGGAAATGAAATCCATGAAGCTGTCTACTGATCAATGCATACCATTTATTTCTAATTCACCAGTACTTGGTATAGGTAGATGTTTGAATCTTCCAAATCCAGGCTTCACAAGCACTGGCTTCTGGAGCTGCATGGTATGCTGGAAGAACATCTCAAAATTCAGTGCCCATCTATTTCTTGCATTTTGACATGGTTTTGAAGGCAGGCTGTGCAGCACACCCTCCACTGTCACTGGCATGACTTGCAACATACGAGGTGATGAGCAGTTCCTGCGCTGTGTTTCTTGAACTGCTTTATCCATCACAGTTATTTACACCAAACTTAAGATATGATAGAGCATCATTCCTGTGAATAAATTGTATAAAACAGGTCAACTTGAATTCTTAAATTACAGTCTAATGATACAGTATTTCAGCTTTCAGGCAAGCAAATTTCATCAATGTATGATAGCAAATTCGTAGTAAATTACACTATGAACTTAGAAGATCTGTTAATAGCTAGAAAATATATCAACCATTAGTGCATGGTCGGAATGTCAACAGGATACCGATGGATTCTATCCGACCATGCGTTTCTTTCCTTCGGATCAATATCTGAAATGCATTTCCACACTGCACTGTTGGACTTAAAGCCACTACCAAATGCAAGTTGCCAAACTCGGTCTCCCTTCTTCATCTTCCCTTTTGCTTCCAGGTAGCAGAGCTCATACCAGACTGAAGATGAGGACGTGTTCCCAAATCTATACAGTGTCATCCTTGATGCTTCTCCGTCTTCCTTCTCTAGCTTTAGATTATCTTCCACGGCATCTATTACAGCCCTACCACCAGCATGTATGCAGAAATGCTCGAATGCTTTCTTGAATTTAGGCACGTAAGTTTGCTTCTGTCCTCTGGTGGCCCAAAATTTCTGGCGAAGGACAGACCACCCAAACTGGAGCTGCTCAGAGTATGGTAGCACCAGAGGGCCCAACTCCGATAGATTGGTCTTTAAAGCATTGGCAGCAACATGTAGAAGCGCCCTGGAAAGCGACACCCCCACAAAACCTTCTTCATCCTGTTGCTGAAAGATGGAATGGTAGGCACGATCGTCTGATCCCATGTGAGTCCGGACAAGGTGCTGGAGCTTGTACTTGGCTTTTCTCCTATCTTGTTTTCTGTTTGACAACAGAATGGCGGCGCCACCCATACGGAAAATGGTGTTGGGAACAAGCATAGACTTGTTTTTACCCTTATAACCATTTGGAGTAATAGCTTCCAAGCTCAGCACCAAAGCCAGTGAGTTCTTATGAACTCTAAGAAGATCTTTCACCAGACTTATTGACAACATTCCAGCACTGCAGCCCATTCCACTCAGGGTGAAGCTCTTTATGTTGCTTCGGAATCCAAACCTGTTCACCACCATGGCTGTAATAGACGGGGTTGGGCAAAAAAGGCTGCAGTTTGACACAAGAATGTCAATGCTTTTTGGGTTTATGTTGTGTTTTGAAAGGAGATCTTTGATGATGGTGAAAAGAATTTCTTCAGTTTCTTCTTTTGTAGGTTTCAAAGAAAAATCAGCCGGCATCTGATGCAGTGTAATGGGTACAGAGGCTTCATCTCCTACCCCTGATCGTTCTATAACTTTTGTCTGGAAATCAATGCTATCTCTACCAAACTTGTTATTACCCGTTTCTATATATTCCATGAAATAGGGAATCACAGCTCTCAAGCTATCCGGTGGCCTGTAACAGGAGTAATCCAAGAGATAAACAGAATTGACTCTGAAAGCATAGTAGAGAAGTACGAGGATGATAGCAGATACAGTTAAGAAATGGGTGAGGGAAATTGGAGCTTCTGCAAAGAAACATGAGCTCTGAAGGGAGAAATCTGTGAATAAATCCATCTGAGATTAGAAACAGGTTGTTTGTTTCAGGGGTAAGGGATGGAGGTGCTCTGTTTTCTCCATGCTTATACAAAAATGAAAAGAAAATGTAATCGGCTTGGAAGACTCGTGCAAGTAGACAATGAAGAAAGATGTTTTAGAAAGCTAACAGTTCGGTCCTTCTGTTTCATGCCAAATGAACCAGAAAAAGGGAAGGCAGTTTCCTGGAAATTTGGCCAGAAGAGATCACATTTTCTTTCTGCTTAAGGTTGCCCTATCATCTTTCTTTCTTCATTTCTAGATGGTAGTATTCCTCCAAGAAAGCTAACTTGCATGTTTCAGTTGCAAAATACACGCTCATGAAAATTAAATGTTCCCCTTAATTAAGATTATCTTCTATTTTCAAGGATGAATAAACATATTTTATTTTCTGAAAATTAACAGTAAGGATTCAGTAACTCTTTTGAAGGATTTCAGTAACTAGATATTGGAAGGCGATCACCTTGAACCACTGCTAATACCTGCAAAGATATCACCTTGCACTAGACTGTGGTGTTGGAAATAGTGATACCGAACTGCAAGAAAAAAACTTGGGGAAAAGTATGATAGGTGTTAGGGGACTACCTATTAAGCTTAAAATTTAGAGAAAAAGATTCCAGGTATTGTTTTGATAATGAAGGAAATCAAGATGTAGAAATCTTATCTCACTTATGGAAAATTTATGACTACAATCATCATTCAGACAGAGCAAAGCAGCTTGAGACATATGATGAACCACTTGTGTATCGCTAGTATCTCCTAGTCTTGGATCCATTACTTCAGTCAGTGAACCATTTTTCAGAAGCAGCAGTGACTGTGTTTCAATCAGAAAAGAAGTCAATAAGATCATAAATATCAAAGACAACCAAGAAATAAATTTTGTCAATTTTGATTTGAAAACAATGACAGCAAATATCAACAGAAAACACAATTCCAGCAGGATCTTTCAAAGCTCATTAAAACAGCAAAATATCAATGAAAGTTTTCCTATCATCTCACCCACTCTATAAGGGTTTGACTGTCTCTTCCATATGGAAAACAGCGAGCACCGTTTCCAGTTATAAGCTCCACGAGCAACATTCCATAATCATGTACATCAACTGAAAGGGACTCATCTTCATCTGCAGCTGCGCATCTTCAACCACCAAGGCACTGAACACAGTCAAGTGACAATGATGAATCATATGATTGTAACTTTAAAGAAAAAACAAGTGAGTAATTTTCATTAATCTGAGCCTAGCATTTAAAAGAATGTCTTACCCTACTGTTGAATTCCTATGACAAGGAGCCTCATCATTGACATTAAGCTGCTTAGCCTTCAGAAAATTGCTTAGCTTGAATGATAAAAAGACAAAAGCAGTTACCATGAAAATGTAATGACAACAAAAGAAGAAAAAATGTCCCAGCATCAACAGAATAATAGTATTTTTTAAGAAATTTTCTTCTGATGACAGGAAAATATCAATAAATTACTTACACATTCCAGTTAAGACAAGCAACTCTATTAAGGAATGCTCTTAAAGAGATAGATCTATCACTTACCATGGCAGAGCAACCATGGAGGAAAACAACATGAGAGGAACAGACAGAGAGATGAGCAATTGGACCATCAGGGCATTTGTCATGAAGATGCCTTAAGCTTCCACCTATTTCCAAAGCAGTATACCACCTTGCTTTCCATGGCAGGTTGCTGGCCGTGTTATCATCTGCAAATGTGGAGATAGGTGTTCATGAATCCCTAGTAGAATAGTCCAAAGTAGTGAACTCTTAGAAAAACAAAATAATCTTGCTTCGCAAGATGTTTTCAAGACTGCCTAAAATTGGAAAATCAAATATAAAGAATCTGCTTATGTCTGTGAAGCAGTGCCCAACATGGTTCATGATGTTCCTATGGTGTACTTGCAATAGGATCATGAGCATTGACTTGGGTCGTTCATCATTTTCCATGCAAGTTTTGACTAAAGCAGGTGTTTCCTTCAATATCCCTTCATAAACTTTCTTGTTTTCGGTTTCTAACATTAAATTCTCATCAGCAAGACCGTTTGTAATCTCTGTAATTTCACTAAGAGAAAATTCCCTAGGAAAACCATTTCTCCATTGCAATGGATACCAACCAGGCTTTCTAGAGGAGGCGGTGGTGCTATTGATGAATCCTGTTCCAGGGAAGGACCATCTGGCCCTTCATTTTGACGATTTTCAGTTTGATTTCCACATTACACCCCACATGTCCATATATGAAAAATCTGCATTTCTTCAAATAACAGCACCATGAAAAAGAGAATCATTTGCAGGCATCTCATTTCATAAGAAAAAGAAATGAAAGGCCAAGTTCCAATGGTATGATACCTGTCTAAAACAATCCATCGAGTTTTAGAGTTCTGAGCCTCTGTGATTGTGATTTTTCCCGGACTTAGTCCTACTGCAAGTTTCATCTCCAACTTCACCTGCAAATTACTATGATTCAAGCAGATTCTCAAGAAGATCCTTCTGCTACTAATGAAAAAAAATTCGGGAAAGTCGCAACCTCATTTCTTTTGCACTGTTTATAGAATGGCTGCACACTAACCCGGTATTGCTCCATTTTCCTCTCAATCTCTTCTTCAGGTAATCTGGGCTTCACTTCTGCTATTACTGATGAAATTGAAAAGTCTAAACTTTCCCCTGCATTTTAACAAACATTTGGCAGATGTAAAATCAACCCAAGGGAAAATTGGCAGGACAGTTTCTGCTTAACCAAACACAATGAAGGATCAGAAAGCTCACAAATTCCATGGTTGCTAATTCCCATGTTGAGTGGAAAGCAAGAAGAGCTCTTCTTCCCTGTTTTGCAGAAAACTCCGAGCACCACCACCGTGTCTCTGGGGCGGACGACGAGCTTAAGCGCCCAGTCTAGAGCATCCACGATCACTTTGTTCCTGTTTGCGTCCATCACGACGATCGCCGTCTTCCTCGGCAACCAATCTGATCGAGACTCCATTTTTTTCTCTGGTTTTCCGTTTTCGCACTCTCGTAGTCGAGAATAACAATCCGAGTAAAGAAAGAGAGAACCCCTTGAGTTTTAGGGTTCCATTTTGGATTCTGCAGAGCGACGATGGTTCCTAGAGACGCCATTGTCGACTTCGACAGGGTAGGTATTTAAGTTATTATCGTTGCACAAAGTTGTAATCTTTCCTTTTATAAATTTAAGAAAACAGAGCAACCCATCACTCTCTCTGAAAATTTTTCTCCTGAAACAAACACCCTCGGTCCTCCTCTCACCGCACCCGGAAATTTCTTCGATTGCGCGCTTGCTCCGCCAACGCCAGTCCTTTGCTCAAACCCACTATGTCATGTCAACAACTACTCGAACGCCGTTCGGTTCGAGTGTCATCTTCCTGACATCCTTCCAATTGCCGACTACTGTAAAAACAACGTCAGAACGTCAACCGACTTCTATTGGAGAGGGCAACTTGGGACTGCAAGGGAAGGGCTTTTGATGGGGTGCGAGTGTAGATGGTGAGGGAGTCCCTGGCCGCCAGGAGGCGAGCGGCCATGAAAGCTCCGATGATGCTTATGCCAATCCAGCCAAGTCGTGTCTGGCAATGGAGTCTCCATAGAAACAGGGGAAGGTGGTTGTATCATGGCTTCGCACGTGCCCCCACTTACAGTATAAACAAATATTTTAAGGGCGGGAAGAACAGTCGGATGCTGATTAGATTCCGTATTTTCTCTGTGGTTTCGCTCACTTTCTCAGCAACCAAACACACAACCACTAGCAAAATCACAGAAAAAATGTCGAAATTCGAATACCCCAGACTATCGCGTACAGACATTATTACGATCCTGAAGGAGTCACAGATTGTTGAGGTGAAGGAGAACGATCTCAAAAACCCTAATCCTGACTTCGTCTCGGATCTTTACACCCGCCTCCTCATCTACCTCGACACTCTCCACGAGTATGCTTCTTTCATTTTCCCACTTTTGATTCTTCAATATTTCCGCTATATCCCTACTTTCTGAGTAGAATTGCTTTCAAGAAAATATCATAGGGAATAAATTTTCTACTTTCTTCAAAATTGCTTAAACCTGATTTTGTTTTGTTTTCAAGAAAAATTTTAAGGGAAAAATGTCCACATTCGAGAATCAAAGATGGAAGTTCTAAATTTTGTGAATTGCATTGAGTTCACTTTTTGTACTTGCATTTTTGTTAGTGGTAGTGTTTTTATTCAATTGTTAAATTGTATAAAGCATTTTGCTTGTGTTTTTTGCATTCTCTGTAGAGATGAGCAAGGGCAAGTTGAGTTCTCTGCTCTGGAGCAGCTTGAGAACCCGGACCTTCATGTTGGCTCTGTCCAAGTTATGAATTTGTATAGCAGGATAAAGGGTATTGTGGCCTCTCTTGATTGTCCGATGCAATTTAACCTTAAAGATTTGATACGGCCAGATGCAGCTCGGACTGAATTTTTCATCAGTACAATCCTCAACTTTTGTCTTCACAAGTAAGATTTTCCCATTTCAAAAAACTGTTTTGCAGTCCAGACTGCAAAACATTAATCACTGGATGATGAGGGGTCCTGTTGGTGTTTTGCAGTGTGGACTACAATTTACATTATATTGATTGATTTTGAATGATTTGAGAAAGTTTAGTTTCTAGCAAAGAATTTCCCTTTATTTATTCTACTTTTGCTTCTGTTTTCATGAATTTAGTATTTTGCTTATTTTGTTTTCTCATTTCTGTCACAGAGACGCAAAAATGAATATTCTAAGACCTATTGTAGAGGAACTAGCTGATCTAGATGAACAGAGAAATGATTGGGAAGCTAAGATTTCTCAGGTATGTTAAGAAAAACTCCCTGTGCTTGAAGGTCAGGATTGATTTTCAGCATATTTTCCTCTTGCAGTTGATTGCAGAGATTGCAGGCTATAATGAAGCTAGAGAAAAGGAGTTACCCCTTGTTCAGGAAGTGGATACCAAAGTTAAAGAATTGCAGCAAACTATTGCTGGGCTTAATGGTCGCCAGATGTTATTAAAAGCCTCTTACAATAAGTTGAAGGACAAGACAAAGGAAATTGAAAAAAAGGTTAGAATGTTGATAGTTTCAGTGTTTCAGATGCTTAAGAGTAAAAACACAGTGCTTTTCTTTGTTAGGTGCGTGTGTGTGTTTTGAACTTAAAATGAAAATATTTGGCACTCTTAATATATGAAGAAATTTGAAGTATTTGGCAGTGGAATGATTTGATCTACTTAGATGTGTGCCTTTTAGTTGGGCTTGACTAAGGACTTGTGGTCATCACTTCTTTATCATTTTCTTTCCAAGCATCATATATCTTCAAACCTAAGATCTACTCTGGTTCTGGCCGTAATGAGTGCCTGCATACTCATAAGATGTGTCGTTTCATCTGGTTGCGTTTTTGACTAATGTGTCATCATTTCAGATTATTATTTCTGCTAAATTCATTCCTTGGTTTTTGTTTAGTTATTGTATCACTTTTTTCTTTCCTGGTACGTACTGTTGTTTGGTCCAACTATGTTCTTCAATTTTGTAGGGCTGGACCTTTTTTTTCTTCCAATCTCATATCCTTGGTTGATGCTGTATTTTTAACAAGTTTCATGCTTCTAAATTAACCAAGGAATTGTGGATTTTGATAAGTCTGTGCTGTTTTCCTGTTGATTTTTTTTTTCCTGCTTTCTGTTTTTGTTGATATGTCTTTTCTTTGTCAGATTTCAAAGGCTGAGTTTGACCTCGTACAGAGTGTCCAAGAAAATGCAAATTTACGTTCAAAAATTGTTCAATCACCAGATAAGCTGCAGGTTTTGTCTCCCTCCAATTGTGTTCTGTTTAGATAATGGTCACTCATATGAATTACATTGCTGTTGAATATAGAATATTTGAGGTATATAGGTACCAAACTTTTTTAAGCAGGGAAGCAGATAAGTAAGAATGGTGATGGGGGCTGGTCTCTTCCAGTAATTATTTTGTAAATTTTTATACATGTTGAAAAATATGATACTTAGCATTAAATTGTGTTTAGAAAAATATGATCCTTTAGAAAATTGCAGCCATTAGAATCACTCTCTTACAGCTTAAATTTGGATCATAAATTCATAAGTACCTTTTGTTTTCAAGTCTTTGTTTTCTTTCTCTTTTTCACTCTTAAGACCTTATTCGTTACTTCTCCTATGGCAACTTTTGCTAAAGAGAGCTTTGGAGGAGAAGAAAGCAGCTATGGAGGAGGCAAAGAATGCTGAAAGGTATTCTATTCAATCTTTTCAGGGGAAAACTGCCCTTCTTGAAGTTTATACGAAGGTAACCAACTAATCTTATATTGTCTTCCATCAATTTAGTTTAATCTGCCCTAGTTGAATCTTAGTTAATCACTTCTAGATTCTTTTGTACATGCCATATCCATATTTTATTCATGGTTTATACTTTATGACATCATCACAAATATCTAGCTGAGTGCTTTAGCTGAAAATACAAAAATAAATAAATAAAAAAAGAAACAATTGGGATGATAAATATTGTTGGATTATTGGCTAGGGAGAATAGTTCTGAGCAAAGTGTTGTGGAGAAAAATCATGCAATATTTGAGATTATAGGCTTAGCCTGACAATTTTGTTATACACTGGGAATGCCTGGCAAAGGGTTGTACATTCCTTATTGGGATTGGATTAATAAAATTCACTTATCCTTCTCCCAAAATAAATAAATAAATAAATAAATAAATATATATATATATGTATACATAAATATTGCTGGATTTGCAAATTTAATCTTTTTAAGTTACTGAAATCATAAATTATAAAGCCATTTAGTTAGGTACATGGGGCAAAGCAGAATGAGATCTGGATAAGCATTCAAGTAAGCATGCATTAACCAATGTGCATAAATGGCAAAGTCTGTTTAAATGAATGGATTTTTGGTCTTTTCTTTCAGGCAGTCAAGAAGATGGAAAAGCACTTTAAGCTGATGGAGGATATACAAAAACAGGTTCAGTCTTGGCCTGTTTCCTTAAAATCTTTGGCTCTGCAATATTTCTTGGCTAGCTTTTCTTTTCTGCTTTGTTTTCGGTTTTCACAGTCACATGGAAGAGAATCCTTTTCCGATTGCCAGAAAACACTTCAGTATCTGTTAAATTAAATTGAGCATTTTTAGCTTAAAATACAAGTCCCTAACTTTCTGGAAAAAAATCAGTTCATTGCTAGCTTTTAGCTTTAGTACTTTGCTTTAGAAGTGCTGCTTACAGAAGGTGATAAAATACCTTTGTTTAAAACATCACATCAGGTGGACTCTGCAAAATCTGTTGAAAAAGATTACAAGGGTTTAAAGGCTAAGTTGAGTGATGATGCAGTGCTAGATAAGTTACTTGAAGCCAAATTTGTTGAACTGCAAGGAAAAGGCAGGTTCTTAGTCATAATCTGCTGAGTTAGTATTGCCCTTCAGATTAACATGGCTTGGATGCTTGAAACTTTACTTTCATTCTTCCCCAGTGGGACAGTTAAATGAAATAAGAAGCCAGTTGGCAAAAGAAAGAGATCTCAAGTTTTCAGAATCTACTTGGGAATTTAATAATGTGAAGTTGGAGGTCGAATCTAGGAGGCATAATTTGGAAGCCAGGCAAAAGAAGGTTGAAGATGTGGTAGCAGAGGTAATTCTATGATCTTTGAATTATTTGTGGCAACTTAAATGATGTTGTTGAACATCGAACTTTCTTCAGCTTCTTCTTTGTTCAAATTGTCGTTGAAAATGAAAGTTTCTTCTTCTTCTTCTTCTTCTTCTTCTTCTTCATTGTTCAATTTTACTAGGTGGATGCCATAACTTCCAAGACAAACATTGTAAAAGAGTCAGGAGCAGCCAAAGTGCAAGAGTTGGTTGGTAGATGTGAAGAGATAGCAAAACAGGTCAAATATCATTTATTTCCATTTTAATCCTTGATCCTTCACTTTTATTATAAAATTGAAATATGAATATATGAGTTCTTTGCTCATCAACAGTGTCAAATTTACTTGTACCAAAGTTGTAAAAATTTTTTCAAGCAATATTTGAGCATAAATTTAATTGACTTTTTGGATTTTGAACCCAATCTTCTGCCATCCTATTGTGAGTTGATTACACGTTTGTTTATTATAGTTGATGTAAAGAGCATATTCTTCATCTGAAATCAAAGTCTGAATGATTGCATGCCTTATTGTTTTGCAGTTGCAACAATATAGAAGTTCTCTCTGGGAATTGTTGCCAATTATTGGGCCTGAGAAAGACTCGATCCAGTAGCTGTTCATGTCCTCAAACTTGCATGAATTTGGTAATTGTTTATCCGCGAGTCACAGGTAAGTCATGGCAAATCCGAACTATGTCTAGTTTGAAATAGTGTAAGTTTGTTGGTGACATCATCAATACAATAATGTTTAAACTAATGAAGGTGTTACTATTCCCTTCTTTATCATTGTAAACATCCACCCCAATAGTCCACATTGTTTATAAGTCCACACATTTCCCTTTAATTTACTCGTGTGAGATTTTCCTACTTAACAATCATCATTTAAAGAAATTCTTAACGATACTTTCAAGTTCATTGTTTATTTATTCTGCCTCCTGTTAGTTGTAAAAAACAGAGGTTAGCACAAGTTCGACGGATATGGTAGCACCAAATCCAGCAGTGCTTTGCATGCTACAAGTAACACTCTCTATTCATAACTAAACATGATTAAAGATCCGTACCTCCGGCTGGAGTCATTGCTTAATGGTTTCCATGGCTTTGTAGAAGATTGTTCCTGCTAGGATGTGACTTACTAGGAACAGTGCTTATATATGTGCCCCTAATCTTGAGGTGATTCCATTAAACGTGCCGTGCTGATCCTGATCACTGAAACCTTGACAGTCCATTGTTTTGGTATTTTCTGCTCATGCGTTATTTTGTCTGTTAATAATGGTTTGGAGTCTACAATCTCTATAACAGGTAAGCAACCCTGGCATGACATAGTTATGAATGTTAAGCCCTCTCCTAAAGAGACTCTGAGGCTTTTTCCGTGATCATGTTCAACACTGGAATTCCATAACTAGTAGAAATATCATTCATCTTCATCCAAGATAAATTACAATCTTATTCTTCCATGATCATACAACATTTTTATGGTATGAGGAAACCTCAACACGGTTCAAAACAAAAGAAAGGAAACGAAACTGAAGGAGCACAGAAAAAGCCACAAAAGCAGAAGGTTAAAACCACACTAGGAAAGCCTCACACCTATTGAGTACGCAACAATGTACTTTCTTCTTAGATTCATAGCTAAATATGTTTAAAAGTCCAGACCTGCTACTTGGAGCAATGTTAGTTGTTTGATCGGATACGTTGAAGATTGTTCTTGATAAGATGCAGCTCGCTGAGTACAACATTGGTGACCATACGGTCTTGAGGTGACTCCATGGAACATGCCACACCGATCTTGATCGTTGAGACTAGGCAATCCATTATGATGTTAATTCGTGACCTCTGTCTATTAACAACGGTTGGTTCTGCTTCTTGGAGGAGTTTTGGGTCTACAATCTCTGTAATCTGATTTGGCAAGGCCATTCTAGCATAGGTATGAAGGTTAAGACCTCCTCCGAAGAGACTATCTGTGGGTCTCTTTCCTGTCATCAGCTCGAGCAGCAGGATTCCATAACTATATAGATCACCATGTATTGATGCCTCACCTCCCATGCCATACTCTGTCATTCACAAATTTACACCCAAAAAGAATAAATTCCAATAAAAAATAAAATGATTAATGCTATGTGGCTGCATGCGGCAAAAGATATAATTTGAAAAGCATTATAATGTTTTGATCACCTGGAGCAATGTACCCAATTGTTCCCCTCACTCCAATTGAGCTACTACTTTGATTTAGCATTTTGGATTCTGAAATAAATCTTGCAAGCCCAAAATCTCCAAGGTGAGCAATCATGTCCTTGTCAAGAAGTACATTGCTTGGTTTTAGATCGCAATGAACAAACGGCTTCCCGCAATGGTAATGAAGATATTGAAGAGCAGAAGCAACATCAATAGCAATATTTATCCTCTGTAGCAGGTTTAGACTTTGGACTCTGCTTTGGCCATTGTTTGTTTCTTGAGAAGACGTATGCAACCAATTCTCCAGGCTTCCATTGTGCATCAACTCATAAACCAGAGCCTTGAAATCGTTGCCTTGGAAATCAATGCTCGAGCAAGACGTTATGATCTTTAGAAGGTTTTGATGACGAATGTTCCTCAAGGCTTCACACTCTGCCATAAAACTCTTGGAAGCCCCTCGATGCTGAAGATCCAGTACTTTGATCGCAACATTAGTTCCATCTTCTTCGAGAACTCCCTTGTAGACAAAACCAAAGCTCCCCTTACCAAGTAAATTTGTTGCAGAAAATCCATTTGTCGCTCTAAGAAGACTGTGGTAAGAAAGTTGCCTAAGAGGCTCTTTCAAAGAGACTCCAGAAGGCTGCTCCCTATTTTTTTTTCTAGTCCAACAAAGCAAGAAGAAAGAGACAATGGTTACTCCCAAAAGTGAGATAACTATAATAACTACATGCACAGATGACAATTCTCCTTTCTTTGTTGCTTTGATGTTGCATTTAGGCAACCCGAGTTCAACAATTCCTCCACAAAGGTTCTTGTTTCCTTCGACAAATACTGCACTTGCATTACTGAAGACACCTTTTGTTGGAATCTCTCCGTCCAAGTTATTGAAAGATAGATTCAAATACTCCAATGCGAGATTTTCCATGTATTGAGGGATCTCACCCATTAAATTGTTGGAGGAAAGACCAATATTCCGAATTCCCCTTAGAGAGCTGAAAATTTGAGGAATGCTTCCTTGAAAGTGGTTTCTATCAAGGAAAAGGAACTCTAGACTGGTGCAACCAATAAGGTTACTCGGGATTTCACCGGACAGCATGTTGTCAGACACATCTAGCTTGCCTAAGTTTTTCAGTATACCAACTTCTGATGGTAGAGATCCAACCAGATGATTGTGAGACAGATCTAATGCAATACTCAAAGTAGAAATGCTAAAAAGTTCTTTGGGTATAGGGCCGCTGAGGTCATTTTCAGAAAGAAAAAACGACTCTAAATTTTGACAATTCCCAAGACTTGAAGGTATGCTTCCATTTAATCTGTTATGATCAAGAAAAAGCTTAAACAACAACGTTAAGTTTCCAAAGGAATTTGGAATTTCTCCGGAGAGTTTATTCATGAATAAACTTAAATATTCTAGTTGTTTAAGCTTACCTATTTCTCTTGGAATTTTGCCTGTAAATTGATTCATATCTAATGCCAACTCATTTAAGCTGACAAGATTCCCTAACCCAGAGGGGATGTCTCCAAATAGGTTATTCGCGTTAAGCACAAGATGTGTGAGTTGATTTGAGAAATTGGCTATAGAATCAGGCACTCTTCCATGAAACTGATTATTGTAAAGTAACACCCTGACCAATTTGCTACAGTTGGCTAAAGAAGTTAAAAAATCCATTTCATCAGCTTCTCCACTTCCTAGATGATTCATACTCAAAGTTAGCCATTTTAGATGTTGTAGGTGCCCAAAAGGAACTGTTACTTTCCCAGTTAAATTATTTCCCATGTCTACAAATTCAAGTTTTGAAGCATTGGATAATGTTACTGGAATCTGCCCACTAAAATGGTTTCCCCATAATTGAAAGCGCATAAGCTGAGGAAGGGTGAGTCCTACGTCCCATGGAATATTTCCTTGAAGTTGATTATCAGAAACGGCAAAAACAGAAAGCATGGAAAGATTATATATTGATGTGGGAATCTTACCAACAAGATTATTAGCTCCGAGTTTAAGAATCCTGAGGCTTTTTAACTGGCCTAAGGCTTCCGGAATGTTGCCTCCAAAATCATTACCAGTTGCAGATAAGGACAACAGAGCGGTTAAATTACCGATGAAAGGCGGGATTCCTCCAGAAAAATTGTTGTGGCCAATGGAAATATTTATGAGCTTGCACATGGAAGCAAGCTCCATTGGAAGCTTTCCCTCTAACTTGTTGTAACTAATTTCGAGGACCTTGAGGTTGGAGCAATGAGACAGATTAGATGGGAGCTCTCCTTCAAAAAGGTTGTTATTGAGAATGAGCATTTGTAACCTGGATAGACGACCAATTTCAGGCGGAAGATCACCATGAAAGCTATTCTTGGAAAGTCTAATCTCTTGAAGGAAGCTCAAATTTCCTAAGAATGGAGACAAATACCCCACCAAGCCCCTAGATGATAAATCCAAGGTGGTGACTCTATCCCCAGTTCGACTGCAAGTGATGCCTTCCCACTGGCAGAAGTGGATAGAATCATTCCAGGACTTGAAAGTCCCACGAGGGTCATTTGAAATCTTAGACTTGAAGGCAATCAAGGCCATATGATCAGTTGTATTTGAAGGAAAAGTAGAAGTAGCATTTGTGAGAGTTTGAGAACTGGAAATGTGGAGAAGCAAGAGCAGAATGGCTTTGAAAGAAACCGTGTAGTAGGAATAGGACATTCTGAGATTACTCATCTTTAAACAAGAAACTACCATGAGTTCCTTCTTTGATTTGTGTTTGAAGTTTAGCACCAACTGGGGTTTTAATTTAAAATAATATTGGCGAGACTCGAGAGTATTTATTCCCTACATTCTGAGTGTAATTTAGGGCAATGACTCTGACTTGGCAGTCCTTTTCCGATAAAGGGAGCACAAACCTAATAAATCTATTTATTCCTATCTCAATACTAGATGTATCAAATATAGCAATTCTCCATTTTCTAGTTTTTGGAATCATATACAGAAGAAATATATAAAGTAGATCTTTCTGCACAGGAAAAAATATTGAAGAATTCTTCTTTTATAGAAACTTCGTTACATACATGAATTAACACATAAAACATTGATCTAAGGAAAAGCAAAATAATAATAATAAAAAAAATTCAATGGAATCATTTAAAAGTGTATTCAAACTAAAACAGAAGACCTCGAGCCTAACCGTGAGTGTTAAGGCCAAAGACTTTGACATAGTAGGCCCGTCCCTCCAAATCGAGCGAAGACACATTGCTAAAAATTTAGCCTTATTTTACCACTATTTTTCAGCGCAATTTGTGCTGAAAAATTTATCCATTTATTTCTAGCATTGGTAAAATTTAGTATAAAATATTTATAATTTACAAATAAATTATAAAAAAAA